GTATAGTATAGTATAGTATAGTATAGTATAGTATAGTATAGTATAGTGTGTGTCTGTCTGTCTGTCTGTCTGGTCCTGTAGACCCAAGTCTATGACAGAGCTCCAAGATGATACCCCCAGTTGCAATATCAGGGACCCTCATTTTGTTGTGATGGTACTGCCAGGTAAACCCAAGCAAAAACAGGTCTGGAATAGAGTCCTCCACTCCCTCTTGGGCAGGAAACCAGAGTCGAGCCTTTGATGGAGGGCGTTGCCAAGCAGCCAGCCCCAGGGGTCCACCCTGTGCATACTGTGTGTTCACTGCCAGCAGGGCCCTATATGCGGGAAGGCAGCGCCCCCTGCTGGCTTCCCTAGGGAAGCAATAGCCACCGCAGGGTGCTTCAGGCTCCTTCCCCAGTCTGGTGCCCTAAAGGCCCACGACCGTCAGGGTGGGTGGGCTCTGGCCCCCTCCCCCAGGCCTGGCCCTAGTAGGAACCGAAGCCATGTGGTTCCCTGCCCCCAGCCTTTCAGCCTGAGGGACAGGACGTTGGCTGGGATGTACAGACGTGGATTTCTGCTTTTAATCCAAAGGGACAGAAAGAAAACTCAGCAAGAACTCAAGCTGGGCCACCCCCACCCTACTCCCCCAACCCCTGTGGGTACAAAAGCCCCAGCCTGGCATCCTCCCCACCTTCCAGGTCCTACACAAAAACCTAAACAATTGCAAACATGGCCAGATCCCAGGTCTGTGCCATTGCCAGCCATGGGGGTCCCACCCGCTGGGCACCGTGCCCACGGGAAGGCCAGCTGGACTCTCGCACTGGGGTCTGGGGGGGATTCCCTCAGAGGGTGGAGAGAATTATTTGGCTTCCTCCATTGGGGTCTGCTGCTCAGCACCCTAGCCCCTCCTCCTGAGCTCACTGTAGAGGTTGGGGATCATAGGGTGGGGGCTGGGGGGGAGTGAGATGGGAGTTGGGACCTATCCCAGCTGTTCTCACGGTCGCTTTTTTTTTCCTGGTCCCATTACAGTCCTGGTTCCTCTGATTAAGATCAACAAAGAAACAACAAAATTAAAAAAAAAAAAAGAGGTTCCTCAAAAGGGGGGAGAAGAAATTTTGAGACATGGAAATATCCCCCAGCCCAGCCCCACCGAAAAGCAAAACTTAGACGTCGTCAGCCACTCAGCCCTTCCCTCCTCCAGCCCGGGTACCCCTGCGTTCCAAAGCCGCCCAGTTCTGGGAGCCCTCGGAAGGGGTCTCAGCGGAGCTGTACACCAGCAGCCAAGCAGAGAGAAGCATGCTAAGCGAACTCTGCTAAGCAGAGGGCAAACAGAAAGAAAAGATGCAACAAGACTGCCTTCCTCCTACCCAGCCCGGCCTTCCCAGGAAGGAGCAGCCAGCTCGCTGGCCGGCCACCCCGGCAGTTCCTGGGGACCCCACCCTCCGCTGGACCTAAGCTTCCCTAGGAGCCCAGAGGAACAGCTCGTAACGATAGTAGACATTCGAGCTCCCCTCCGGACTACATCTCTCCTCCTTCTCCCCTCTCGCCCTTCCTGGGAGCCTTTGCTCAGGCCTCTGGCCCCATCTGCTCTGGACCAGGCGAGGGCGTTCCCGGGGTGGGCAAGGGATGTTCCTTAGAGCTAGCTGAATTCAGCCTGAGTCCAGAATAGCGGGTGTTCTGCCACCCCATTTTCAACCGCCCGGGCAGTTCTCGGGCTGAAACCCCTCTGTACAGCACACAGGAAAGTTAGAATGCTCTGGACTGGACGCCCAGCCCGGCGCAGGCACCCACTTCCACGCCCGCAGGCCGCAAGGGCTGCTGCCCTCTGCCACGCCCCTAGTGAAGGGAGTGGGCCCCAGGTCGCCCCGCACCCCAGCCCTGCATGCAGGTGCCCTCGCTCCGCCCCTCTGCCCTGTCCCTGCCTTGCCGCACACAGCCCTCCAGGGGCCGGCTGAGAGTGGAGCAGAAAGGGCCCCCGGAGCTGAGCGAGGACAAGGCAGCCTCCACCTGCGCTAGGTAGGCGTCCTGCTCTCGAGACTTTGAGTTCCTGTGGAGGGTGGGGGGTGTCATCCTTTTAAGAGTGTTCTGGAGCTTTTCTGGTCCCTTCCCTTCCCACCACACCCAGTGGCCACTTCTCCCTAGATTTTAGCTGTAATGTCTTTCCTCTTTATTTAGGGGTGGGGCAGTCATTGTTTGGGTCTTTCACTGTTGCAGTTGGGAACTCCTCCTCTGTTTGAGCAACTTGGGAACAATTTCGTAACACACCACAGGAAGCAGCTCTCCTCCCAGCCCCCTCCTCCTGTAAGGGATGGTGGAGGCTTGTCCAGAGGGTCTTGAGAAGCCCCCTGGGAGGGAGGGAACGCGAGCACGCCAGCCCCCCTGCAGGGTGACTGGGCCCCTCTGGCTTGTCTTTCTGTGCCTTAGTCCTCCTTCCCTGCATCTCCCCTCCCAGGCCCGTTCTCAAGGCCTTGCGCCTCTCTCCGGTATGAAAACACAAAGCACAGGTCAGGATCCTCCGAAAGTCGGTCCAACATTGCACCACGTGGGGGTGGGTTGTGGGCTTTATTTATTGAGAATCTAGTTGGTGAGGCTGCGGCCCTGAGCAGGCGAATGGCCGCTAGCAGGGAGCTCGGGGCTGCGAGGCGGCTGTCCGGGGCGCTCTGTGTGGAAGTTGAGCGAAGCCCTCCCCTGCGGCATCGATGGCCAGGCCGGGGTGGAGATCCCGCGGGGGGGCCTCCCTGTGCAAGGGGAGGGAGCCCCAGGATGGGGGGCCGGGCGGGCCGGGCGTGACGCGCGGTCAAAGTGCAATGATTTTTCAGTTCGGTTGGCTAAACAGGGTCAGAGCTAAGAGCTAGCGAAAGAGGGTCCCTGCCCGGCCGCGTGCGCCTCTTCGGTCGGTCGAGGACAGTCGGGCTGTGGGCACTGTGGGATTGCGGGGCACACGCCCCGGGCGAGGTCAGAAGCTGCAGGCCAGCTGGGCCGGGGCCCAAGTGCTCGTCGAGGTACCCTCAGGAGGACTGGGGAGGGGGTGGCGCTCCTTTCCCAAGTAGTGGTGTGAGGGGCAGGCAGGGACGATGAGGGCGACAGATGTGGGGACGTGTTTAGGAGAGGAAACAACCCACAACAAAATTATAGGGGAAATTAACCTTTTTTTTTTCATTGAACCAAGTGCAATGCATCAGAGAGTTTTCCTATCTTTGTATGTTAAGAGATTAAGAAAAAAATTCTATTTTTGTTGTAATGTCCTCGCGGCTCTGGGGACGCTAAAAGAACTGGGCCTGCCCTGCCCTTAGCGGGGATGAAAGCTGAGTGTTTTCCTTTTTCCTTTTTTTTTTTTCCTTTCTCATAGTTTTCTGGGTTTTTGTTTTGTTGGTTTGGTTGGTTGGTTTTTTTTTTTTTTTTTTTTTTGCCGTTTTCCTGCATTGACGAGGATAATCTGGGGTTTTAATTTGTTTCGTCGTTCGGTTTCGGTGGGAGGGCTGAAGAAAACGTTCATAGTTTCTATTTTTAAAACACCTCGACATTAAAAAAAAAAAACCAACACAAGATCAAAAGGAAAGGACGAGAGAAAATTATTTTTAAGATAATTAAACATAAAACCCTGGTGCTTATTACATTATAAAGTACGTTTTTAAAAAAACCCACAAACTATTATACATACGTTTATGAATCAATTAAATACTCTGCACTTGTTAGGAACACGCATATCCCTTCTTTGTTGAGTTTAACGGAACGGGACAGCGGCGTGCGCCCCGCGGCTGGGCTGCTCTGGCCGCGGGTCTCCCCAGGCGCCCCCTCCCCCTTCCTCGCCCCTCCCCCTATGGGCACTGGGGTGCGTCGGGGGTCCCCGGCCCCCTCCCCCGCAGAGGTCAATGCCAACGAACAAACGTCCCTTTTCCCTCCCTCCCCACTCCGAGCGCCCTTCTTTGAGCCAGACGCCAACTTGACCCTCACCAGCATTAATCAGGAGCGCGCTCAGCAAGTTGGTAGTTTCCTCCCCGACCCCTTCCAGAGTAACACCACTCTTCCTCCTCCCTCCCGGAGGTTCGATGCTCCAGGACAGGTCCAGCCACGCTGACAGGTCGATTTGCCCAGGCCCGCGCCCGCACGCACGCACACAGCCCGGCACACAGCCCCACCCTACCCCGCAACCAGCCCTGTCGACTGCCTTACACACCCGCCCCCGCGCTGGCCGGCCGACCTAGTGCCTTGTTCTCACCCCCGTGCTGGCGGAGCGGACGCCGCGCTCTGGGTCCCAGAGGGGCCGGGTGGCTCAGACGACCCACCGTTTCCCCACTCCGACCGTGCTGTACGGACCCCCCCACGAGAGAAAAATAAAGGAGCAATAAAGTTATGAGAACTTTGTCCCCCAATCGAGAGCCCTAGGGGCACCCCAGCCCCACCTCTGCTCCCTCCCACCCCATCCACCCTCGGGGCGTCCCCCCCTGCGCAAGCCAGCTGGGGCCAGCCCCTGCTTTGGCCACTCTTGGGAGATCCGTGCGCCCCACCAGCACCAGCATCGCGGACCGCAAAGGCCGCCCGTCCCGTCAAACAAGTTTCTTCTTAGGCTAAGAAACGCAGTATATACGAGTATCTCTATATATAGTACTAATGGGTTTGATGTGCTTCCCCCTTAGCGTCCCTTCCCTCTGCTCCTCCTTCAGCCTGGTCTCCCTTCTCTGCCCTCCAATCCCCCTCCCCCGTCTCTGCACTGAGATACATAAGAAACAAGGGTAGTTTACTGTCTGTTTTGTTTTCTGGGTTTTCAGTGTCCTAGCGGAATGCAAGTAGGCAGCCAGCCCGTCTGTCCCCTCTCCGCCCACCCCGCCCCGCCCCACCCCCGTCACTGCGCTTCTGTTATACCATCTTTGCCTGACTCTCTTCGGCTTCTCCATTGAATGGCTAATGTGTATGTGAAATAAAGAAATAAAGAAAAACAAATGCAAGAGTGCCTGAGTCTTCGTTGTCGCGGTTAACAGGATGATGGATCAAGCGCAACCAAGCGCAACCAGTTGGACTTCATGGGCTATAGCGGTCCTCCCACACTTGTCTAGGGTCTCCCCGCCTCCAGCAGGGGGCGCCGATGAGAAGTGCGAAGGCTTCCAGACCCTTCCCTACCTCCCTCAGGACTTCTGGGATCCCATGGCTACTTGGCCCTGTTGATTCTCTGGCCTTGGCCCTGGCAAGAGGACACTGGCAAAGCCACTTTCAAGTAGCCTATGGGACAAAGTATGGAGGCCCCCCCACCCCCCGGCGTTGCCGGTCACCTGTCTAGAGATACAGGGCGTTTCCTCATCTGGGCGACCTGAGACCCTTTTACAGGGAGTTCACTGAGCAGCAGGTGAGGTGCCACTGCCTTGGGTCACCGCACCTCAGGACTCAGGGCCGTCTGCTCCATCTTGATGGGTCGCACTGACCCACTGGGGTCGCCATCGCAGTCCCCAGGAAGCACGGGCTGCGAGCGGGCAGCCTCTACTCTGTGTCCGGCCCCGCAGCGTGCGCTGCTCTCCACGCCCCGCTGCGCAGGTGACTTGCGGGACCCGGGCGTGCTGGGGCCGGAGGCCAGCACAGCCGCTTGGTCTCGCAGCAGCCGCACCAGGAAGCCGATGTACTTCATAGCCAGGCGCAGCACCTCGTTCTTGCTCAGCTTCCGGTCGGGCGGGTGGGTGGGCAGCAGCTTCCTGAGCTCCGCGAAGGCGCCGTTAACGTGCTGCTGCCGCCAGCGCTCGCGGCTGTTGGTGAACACTCGCCGAGCCACCTTCTGGGGTTGGTGTCCTGAGGATCCAAGGGATAGCATCAGCGTAGAGGACAGAGGGCGCCCACTGAACACAACCAACACCCATGTGGGGTTTGAACCCAGACTGTGTAGACATCAGGACTGCTGAGCCTGATTACCCCTTGATGGCAACGCTGTGATCCTTTAAGAAGTCCATCCTGGGGCCTCATTCCGAGCAATTGTATTCCTAGGTTCTCAAAGGTCCTGTTCTTGCCTGCTGCGGGCATGTGGGTGACTGGTGGGTATCTGATGGCTGTGGTTGTGTGGGATCATGCCATGTGGTTGTGGCTGTCCTATGTGTGGCTGGGGTTCTGAGGTTGACTGTGGTCTCATAGCTCTGTGTGATCCTAATCCAAGGCTGTCTCTCATGACTGTGTTTTCAGGGGTTGAGGAGTGTCATCTTGTGGCTGCCATATCCTACTGTGGCCATGTGGCTATAATGCTTGGCTTGTTGGGGACTCATATAGCCCAAGTTGGCCTCTGAACTGGTTCTCCTGCCTCAGTCTGGATTACAAGGGTAAGCCCCGAAACTAGGCTCAGTTCTGTGGTCTTGCATTAGCTATCACTTTTCTGGATTGTCCTGTGTTGAGGGTCGGGGGATGTGCACCTCACAAAACACCTCTCCCTGGGGCAGAGTACAGGTTAATCAGACATGATCTGAAGGCACTCCACAAGTACACATGCTCACCGTCAGCCAAGTCCAGCTCGCTATGGCTTGGTCTGCGCTTTAGCCGGCTGTTAGGGAAGATGCTGAAGGGTCCTGCTGGCCCAATGTAGACACTGTAAGGGGTTGTGGGTCATGAACACTTTGTACGCAAGGACCCTGACCCCCAAACGTAAGCACTGCCCAAAGTCCCAGCTGCCCACTGACCTGTTCAGGAAGGGGTGAGGGTGGTAATGTACAGCCAGGGTGGGCGGAGCCGTTCCCAAGGCAGCAAGCTGCAGCAAGGAGGGCCGAAAGGCACTGAGCTCTGTGGTGGGCATGGCTGCCCCTGTGGGCCTGGTGTGACCCAGGTTTATCACGGGCACGCCGGGAGGCAACCAGGGGGTACACGTGTTTCGGTGATCTACCTCCTCTGCAGGGAGGGGCCTAGGTGAGGCAGGCTTAGAGGGAGGAGCAGGTGCTGGGCTGGAGGTACACACCACCTCAGTTTTCTCCGTCATGGCGGAACCCACCTCTGCTTGGGCCTGGGGTGGGCACATGGACCCCAAGGATGGAGTGCTAACCTGTGGAAGGGAGTGGAGTTACTGGGAAGGAAGGCCAAAGACTGTCTTTTGCCCACCTGTTTAACATGAGCTTTTCAATATAAGAGCACCTTGAGGTGAGAAGGGGATTATGGGGTTTAGTAATTAAAGGTAGAAAAGTGGACCTAGAAACTGCTAGGCCATGAAAGGAGGGCCTCCTCCACAAGAGGGGGTGGCTACCAGATGCTAGGAAGCATTGACCCTATGAGTTGTTTGTAATGGATGTCTTTCCCAGTCTCTGAACCAGTTCCTGTCTTTCAGAATCTCTCCTACCTGCAGCTGGGAGTAAGATAGGGATCCCCTGACTAACTCTAAGACCCCCTGAGTCTCCAAGAGTCACCCCATGCCACCTCTCCGTGGCTGTTCCAGGAACCTCTACCCTGGCTAAAAGCTCCTCTCACTGGCCCCCAGCCCCATCAGTACCTAGCATGTTTGCTGGGCTCTAGAGTCTGGGGTACCCTGCCAGTGTGTAACACCCTACATTGCTGCCGTTTTTCCCCAACTGGAGAAGCTCCTCTGTCCCCTTACTTAGTGACACTCAGCTAATGAATGAATAAATGAACTAACAAAACACCGAATACAGGCACAGACACTCCCTAACGTTCAAAGCGTCTTTCTTACCCTGTAGCAGTTCCCGCAGCTTGGAGGACCTGGCTGCGTGGTCAGGTGTGTCAGTCCTGGTCAGGAGGCAGTTTCCACTGCCCAGTTCGGCCAGTGTGCCCCAGGTGGTCCCGTTGGGCCTCAGAGCTGGGCTGCGCCACCTCCCGGGCTCCGGAGAGCCTGAGTAGCCTCAGAGGCGTCCTGGTGGGTACCTCCAAGAGAAAGTGAGCTGCTCTTGGACCGACCCGCCCTTTCCCCGCCCCCGACAGCCTGGCTTCCTCCCTCTTACCCCTGGCGCAGAGGCCAGAGGATGCTGGGCCTGTGCAGATAAGGGTCTGGCTGCCTGGCCGCAGCTGATAAGAAGCGGTGCTGACCGAGAGGAAACCAGCGGGCAGGGATCACGGAGCGCGCACCTCCTGGTCCACCCCAGCCAGTTACCCTTCGCGGCTTGTCGCTCCCCCAGGCACTGGAAGACCCCAACCCTCAGGAGCCCAGCGTCAAACGCATGCAAAGGAGAAAGGAGGCAAGGCTGCTTCTGTGTCTGGCTTTGAACCCCACCTCCTATGCTGATGGGGTGGAAGGGGCCCCTTTCCGGTCCTCTGAGGCCCCATGACCCATGGGCCTCAGCCTAGTTCCTCTTTTTTACAGATTCCCCTGTGGACTGCACACCCTCCCCCCACCCCCACCCCCCACATACACCCAGGAATAGGGCTCCGGAAGGAGACAGTTCTGGTAATGTGGCCTTGCTGTGTGTCCTGACACAGTGGTGTAGGTGTCCTGAACCTGTGGCACTTCTAATGTATTTCCAAGCCCAGGAGGGTGAAATGCGTGTCAAAGCCTTCTTGAGTTTCCCAGAAGCTGCACCAAAGCTCTCCAAGATGCCATTAGGCCACACCACAACTGGGTGTTGTCCGTTGCTGGCAGGTATTCTGGAGTAATCTTTTTTTTTTTTTTAAAGGTTTAATTTATTTATATGAATACACTGTAGCTGTCTTTAGATACACCAGAAGAGGGCATCAGATCCTATTAGAGATGGTTGTTAGCCACCATGTGGTTGCTAGGAATTGAACTCAGGACCTCTGGAAGAGCAGTCAGTGCTCTTAACCGCTGAGCCATCTCTCCAGCCCTGGAGTAATCTTCTGAATTCTGGAAACTTAGGGACTGGAGAGGTGGCTCAGTGGATAAGAGCACTTGTTGCTCTTGCAAAGGCCTCAGGTTTTGTTACCAGTATCCACGTGGCTCACAACCACAGCTAGCCCCAGTTCTAAGGGATCCGACACCTTTTGAGGGCATCAGACACACACATGGTGCACATATATGCATACATGCAGGGAAAAGTCATACAAATAAAAAGAAAATCCTTTTAAGTTACAAAAATCCTGGAACCCCAGCTGAAAGCTCCCAGAAGGGCCAGGCATGCTAGCACACACCTTTGATCCCAGCAGTTGAGACAGGTGGAGTTCAAGGCTAGCCTGGTCTACATAGTGAATTCCAGTAGTCAGGAAGTAGGCTGTGTAGACTCTGCCTCCAAAAAAAGGGGGGGGGGTGACTTCCAAGATGAGCTGAACCCCAGGCACTACAGGAGGTCTGTCCCCTGTATCTGGTTAATTGTGGGTGCACCCAGAGATGGGCTTAGTGGCCATGCAGACTCAGCAAAGTGCCTAAGCCAAAGACTCAGTCACCCACCCTAGTGACTCTTCTAGCAGAACTTGCTACAGTAGGGCTCACTTTCTGGCTAGTGGTGAAGGATGTATGTGCTGCCCCAGGACTCTCCCCTTAACATTATTAATCCTCTACTCTAGGGGGAGGGGACAGAGCATCTCTTCATTGGGTCTCGGCAGCCGCCCGCCTGTGTTCTCAGAGAGCATTCTCCTATTGAGGAGCAGGCAGGGCAGGAAGCACCTGGTCTGGAGCGGATGCACAGAATGCCTGGTTCCGGTTTGGCTTCCGCCACCACACCAACTGCAGACAGCTGAGTCCAAGAAACCAGGCAATAGGATAGAGACTGCAGGGGGACTCTCAGGCGCTGGGGAGGTAGGGGAAATGCCTAGATAGTTGGAAGAGGAGAGGTCGCCTGTTTGCAGCTGCCGCCCTGTGGCCACCTGATGAACTGCTCTCCTGAGCCGCCAGCCAGATCAGTTTCCATGTCAGATGTAAAGTTGCAGTAAGGCAGGAACAACCACCCCTCAGGCAGTCTCCCAGGCAGACAGCCTCCCAACTCAAAATGACAACCAGCAGGTTACATCTCTTTATTGTCTCAGTCTACACCTGGCCCAGGAATGGCCCCATCAGCAGACTTGGGTCCAGGGGAGATCTCAGTGGTAGTCTCCGGACAGTCTGTGCTGGGGTTATCAGCAGAGGCCACAGGAGCTGCAGGGCTGTGTGAATAACAGCACTGGTCCCCTAGTTGACAGGTACCCTGGTGAGAGAACAGAGTGATGGAGCTCCAGGCTGTGAGCACCAGCCTGGGCTTCTTTCCTCAGTCCCTGGTCCCAGCTGGACCTGACGCCCGTCCTTGGCCCTGTGGCAGGGAGGGTGGAAGGAGAGAATCACCTCTTTGAATCGTTTGCAAGGAAATGTCTTGAGGCGAGCTGCCCGCTGGGCTGGGTCCTCAGCTGGCTCCTTACGCTTGTTCTGTAGCAGCCTCCGTCTCTCTGCTGGATCTTCACTTGCTGCCTTGCCCCTGTACAGAGAGGGGTGGGGATACCCCACTTTGTCTTTGCCCAGCCCTGGGAAACCCTCACCTCTACGACGTTACCACTCACCCCGGCCGGGCTCGGGGCCGGGGACCCCAGTTGGCTTCTGGATTGGCCTGGAAGCGCTTAAGTCCTCGCTGGCGGGAGATGGGGTTGGCGTCTTCCCGGATGTTGAAGTTGGCCTTCAGCCTGGACAAATGGGTGGAGGCTGGAGGCAGTGGCCATGCAGGGTGAACACAGACAGCCCCAGACCCTGCCCACCCTGAGGCAACACCACAGGTCTGCCAGGCTCAGAGTTCTTCCATTTGGTCAGTAACCACCTGAGATTCCTAGTGCATTTCTGACAAAGAGGCCTGGATCTGCTCCAGTGGAGCTGATTTTGCAGCATCAGAGACAAGAAGACAAATCAGAAATAAGTAGGGCGAGGGGTGTGGCTCAAGTAGAGAGCTTGCCCAGCATATGTAAGGCTTTAGGTTCTATCCCCAGCACTATAAAGAAATAAAAATAATAAGATTGTGTTGTGTTGGGACATGCCGCTCAATAACTGTTTTGGTAAAAGACATAAGTTGGGATGCAACCCTTGTCAGAACGGTCCAGTCCAGGACACTTCTGAGGTGTGAGAGAAGGGCCTGGGCAAAGGGCCCATGCTGGGACAGACTGTGTACTGAGCTGAGGCTGCTACTGAGGAAAGAGCCAGCTATGGAGGGTTCTGTGCTCTGTGATCTGACCCAGATACTCTCATGTATGTACGGCTAAAGAGCAGATGGTGCAAAAAAGTGAGAAAGGGCACAGGGGGAAGTCAAGGTGGAAAAGAGGTTCTGGATTTTCCTCAAATGATCTCTGTCCTCTGTGTACATGTCCCTGCTATGCCTGAAAGGTAGCCTGTTGTCCCCACCACTACCACCCCCAACATGTGCCTGCTACTCCTGAAAGGTAGCCTGTCGTTCCCCCCGCATATCTGTCCTCTGTGTAGGTGTGCCTGCTATACCTGAAAGGTAGCCTGTCACCCCCCCCCCCCCCAGAATATCTGTCCATACTTGGGCTCTACAGCAAGGATTCGGAAGGCTGGACTGCTTTCAGACAGCCGCTCCCTTTTCACCGGACACTCCTTCTCCTGGGGACAGAGATCAAGGAGATGCTAAGCCTGAGGAGCACCCACGCCACCACTTCTTCCTTGCCCTCCTGCCTTGAACCAGGGGGTCACCTGCTCTCACCCAGCAACGCATGATGTCCCAGAGAGCTACAGGAGGAGCATCTGTCTTCACTGCATTTTTACAGGCATGGGAGAGAGAGACTCGGAAACCAGCATGAAGGAGAGCTGACCTGGGTGGAGAGACCACAAAGAGGAGGCTAGACCACAAAGCACAGGCTGACCCAGGTGGGCACAAGCCAGGAATAGCATAGCTGTTTTGTTCACAGCAACCCATGTCATAGACTGTCACATCAAAACTACTGCTGGAGGCTGGAGAGAGAACTCAGTGGTTAGGACCACTCGCTGCTCTTGTAGAGATCTCTGGGTTTTGGAACCCAGCACCCACACTGCAGCTATAAATCCTCTGTTAACTCCAGCTCTGAGGAATCTGACACCTCCTGGCCTCTTCAGGCACTGCATGCAGAGGGTGTACTCACTTATACACGTGTAGGCAAAACACATATACGTAAAACATGCGATCTCAGCTCTGCAATAAGCATACAGCAGACTTTGATTGTCCGAGCTGCCCCAGGCCTCACCGAAGCTGCAGGAGGCGGGGGGTGTTGCAGTGGATGGTGCTGCTCAGATGGTCCAGAGTGTAGTAGAGAGGGACATCAGGAAGTTCCTGAGAGGTGAGCACGGAGTGGCATGGAGTGCTGCTGGCACAAAGGTGGGCACAGAAGGCCCCCTCCCTCCGCAGGCCCAGCTCATACCTCAGTAACAACACTGAGGACACCTTGGATCCTCATGGAAGTGTGGAAGCGGCCAGAGTTAGTAGTCACTGCCTCAAGAACTCGGCTCACAAAGTCCAGGTCATGGATGGGCTCTGCCCACATGGGGCCCCCAAGCTGTGGACCCCAAAGATACAGATGAGAAAGGAGCATGACCGGCTAAGTCCCCGACCCTGGCCCACAGCCTCTGGCCTGGGCTCACCTGGTGTCTCTGTCCACAATGCTCACACTCAGGGGCCACTGGAGGACCACAGGCTGCAGAGAACTTGACCCTGCAAGGAGAGGTGGTTGGAGGGATGGGGACCTAGGACATCCTTCATTTCAACCCAAAATGCCCTTGCTCACCTGCCGTCAGGGTCTCCGGATGCTTTGCCA